CTTTTTAATTATTTCAAATATATTATTATTCTGGGTATATATAAGCCATTATCCATATATGTGTGAATAATAATTATTATGAGAAGGTAAAGTAATATTATTAATATGCAAAAACACAAAACTTTATTCCAACGTTTTATTTATGGTGTTAAATTAGCCTGAAATCTTCCTAGTATGCCTACTTCCGTTGATAAGTTTCATAATTATCCTTTAATACGTATTTTTAGAGTTATTGGAGGTATATCTATATTATTATTTTTATCTTCACCTGGTTGAATAAATAATTCTTATATAAAATGAATTATATTTGTATTAGCTATGATCCAATTTATATATATAGCTGTCATTAGTTTTATAAAAATTGGTTATATTGTGTACCTATGGAAAAATAAAAAAAAATTAGAAGTAAGAAACTCACCAATAGATCATATAGCATCTCTGACTCTTAAATTAGCTACTTGTATTAAAGGTGCATGTGTAGCTGGAGGTGCTGGTGCTACTGTTTTAGGTTTAGGTTTTGGTGCTGATAAGTTATTAGAAGAGGCAGGACATCCCCCATATTTTAAAAAAGCTATAGGTAATCAATTAAATAATATTTTATCCGGTTTAGTTTATACAGGTAACACTGAATATCTTGAACTTCAAAAAAGAATGTTGGATGTCAAAGAAAGAGCTAAAAATATAGAGGAGTTAAACAGTATTGTGGATAGTTTGGAAAAAGACCCGTCTTTTACTGAATTAAAATCGGAATTAGCAGAATTTAAGCAGGAGTTTATTAAAGATCTTCCAAGGGAAAAAGCTCAAAAGGCAATAGAGCAAAGTAAAATATTAGCCGAGTTAAAAAATATAAAAAAAATTGGTAGGGGTCATATGTTATTAAATATTTTATCAGGTTTTACATATAATATTATGACAAGTGGGTTTATATTCTTTTTCCTAGGTTTATTACCATTAGCCTTTATTATAGCATTTTCAGGTCTAGAGTTAGGTATTGCGTTTATACAATCTCAAGTGTTCGTTGTATTATCTTGTTCATACATTAAAGATGCTTTAGAGTTACATTAATATTTTTATATAATATAGATATGTTACTATAAAATTATAGTAACATATACATGCATATTAATTAATAGTAATGTATTATATGTGTATTATACAATACACAGATAATACATTATCTTTATTGTTTGATTAATTGTTTATTCATATTTGGTATTAATTTCATTAAAGGTAGTTATTGTAATAGTTTCATTAACGTAGCTGTTGTAATACTTTTATTAAACATAGCTGTTATAATAGTTTCATTAAACGTAGCTGTTATAATATTGTTTAATTAAGTGTGGTTATTGTATTAATAATAATTATTTTGTCATATTATAAGTATTCACAGTGCGGACCACAGAGCATCCTATATTATAAAAAAAAATATATATATTATTTATTATCTATATATATAATTTTATATATTTAAAACAAATGATAAAATATAAAAACAAATATAAACATTAATAAAACATTTTTTATAGGTGGTTATTTAATTTTAAATTACCATATAGATATATATGGCGTTACATTGTACCCTAAAATATATAATTATTAATTTTAGTGGTTTAGTGGGAATTTATTTTTTATTTATTACCATGTTATTATTACTTTTACTAATTATACCTTTAATAGGTATATTTATTATATCAACAAGCACGTATGATGAATTTTCACCTGTACATGTAAAACGTATAAAATTTATAGCTTTAGCTACATCTGTTTTTAATTTACTTATTTCATTGATTATATTTATCTTATTTGATTTTAGCAACAATCAATTTCAATTTGTTCAAGAGTATCATCAAATAAGTTCTTTTGATTTATACTTAGGTATAGATGGTTTATCTATATATTTTGTTATATTAACTACTATTATAATACCTATTTCATTATTATCAAATTGAACATCTATATCAGAAAATATTAGATCATATATTATAATAATTTTATTACTAGAAACATTATTATTAGCAGTATTTTTAGTATTAGATATATTACTTTTCTACATATTTTTTGAAAGTATATTACCACCTTTATTTATACTAATAGGTTTATTTGGATCAAGTAATAGAGTAAGAGCTAGTTTTTACTTGTTTTTATATACACTATTAGGTTCTTTATTTTTATTATTATCTATACTTACCATGTCTTCTATTATGGGTACTACTGATTTTGATGCTTTATATAAGACAAATTTTAATTATTTAACACAACTTTTCTTATTTTATGGTATTTTTATAGCTTTTGCTGTTAAAACGCCTACTATTTTTTTAAACACTTGACTTTTAAAAGCTCATGTTGAATCACCATTAGGGGGAAGTATAATTTTGGCAGGTATTGTTCTTAAACTAAGTCTATATGGTATACTTAGATTGATATTACCTATATTACCTAAAGCTTCTATAGATTATACTTATATAGTATACCTAATAGGTGTTATAACTATTATATATGCTAGTTTTAGTACATTAAGAACTATAGATGTTAAAGAACTTATAGCTTATAGTTCTGTATCTCATGCTGCTGTATATCTTTTAGGTGTATTTAGTAATACAATACAAGGTATTGAAGGTGGTATTACTTTAGGGTTAGCTCATGGGTTTGTTTCATCAGGTCTATTTATTTGCGCTGGAGGTATTTTATATGATAGATCTTCTACTAGATTAATTACTTTCTATAGAGGTATGGCTCAAATAATGCCTTTGTTTGCTATATTATTCTTTATACTATCATTGGGTAATTGTGGAGTTCCTTTAACTTTAAATTTTATAGGTGAATTTATGTCATTATACGGAGTATTTGAAAGACTACCTTTATTGGGTGTATTTGCTAGTTCTTCTATAGTATTTTCTGCTGCATATACAATATATATGTTTAATAGAATAGCATTTGCAGGATCATACTCTAAGTTTTTCAAAGTAAATATCCCAGATTTAAATAAACGTGAATTCCATATATTATTGACATTGGTTGTTTTTACAGTAGTATTAGGTATATATCCTGCACCTGTATTAGATGGTTTACATTATTCTGTGTCATCTTTAATATATTATGCCCCAATATTGTAAAAAACAAAAAAAAATTATAGTTAATATTTCTAGTTAAAAGATAATATTAATAATTTTTCTTAAAAAAAAAGTTTTCTTGCTAGTTCAAGGGAAGAACAAGATACTTCTAATATCTAAATTCAAGTTCGAATCTTGAGTAAGATAATACAAGACTATGTTATTTATATAAATAACAAAATATAAATTAGATGAGTTTGATGATGGCTCTGAATGAACGCTGTCCAAATGCTTGACACATGCTAATCGAACGTCAATATTTTTATTAATAATTTTTTAATAATGTTGAAGTGGTGTACAGGTGAGTAAAAGGTGTTTTGGCTACCTAAGAGTAAGGGATATGTAAATCCCTTATACAAAAAAAAAAGAAATGTTAATTTTAAAATAATAATTAAATATTTCGCTCTTAGATGATTATAAATATCTCGGGTAAGTAGTAATTAAGGTAATGGCTTAATTAGCTTGTATCCGTAGTCGAGACTGAAAGGTCGATCGATCACATTGGGTCTGAAAAAACCCCAATACGTTTAGTACAGCAGTGAGGAATATTGGTCAATGGCCTAACGGCTGAACCAGCAACTTGGAAGAATGAGAGTTAACCATTAAATCTAGGAAACTAGCTTTAATACTATGTGAAATATTTTATACATATTTCATATTTTTAGGGGTTAACTTGATTGACTATGTCTTATAAAGTTCTAGATAAAAGCTGATAATGACAACTTTGTATCTATAGTCTCGACCAAATCTTGTGCCAGCAGTCGCGGTAAGACAAGAGAGACTAGTGTTATTCATCTTTATTAGGTATAAAGGGTACCTAGACAGTGTATCACGCCCAAATAAGGGTACGGATAAGACTTGAGTTTTAATGTAAGAGGGAGATATCAGAACTATTGGTGTAGAGATGAAATGTTTTGATACCTTTAGGACGGGTAATGGCGAAGGCAAACCTTTATGTAAAAACTGACGTTGAGGGACGAAGGCTTGGGAAGTGAAGAGGATTAGATACCCCCGTAGTCCAGGCAGACAATGATGAGTGTCATAGGTTAATATTTTTAGACTATAAATGAAAATGTAAGCACTCCACCTCAAGAGTAATGCGGCAACGCAGGAACTGAAATCATTAGACCGTTTCTGAAACCAGTAGTGAAGTATGTTATTTAATTCGATAATCCTCGAATAACCTTACCACAATTTGTATGATCTAAATTCCATATATTTGGATAAGTTTCTTAAGCTAATGGTTTAATTAATGCATTTAGATCACATGTGTTGCATGGCTGTCTTCAGTTAATGTCGTGAGATTTGGTTAGATCCATTAAATTAACGTAAACCCTTGTTTTATTTTAAAATAAAACAGTTCACCGCTATATTGGATGTGATAAGAGGGACTAAGACAAGTCATCATGGCCTTAATATTGTGGGCTATAGACGTGCCACATATGCCTTTACAAAGGGATGCAATAATGTAAATTGGAGCTAATCCTTAAAGTAGGATATAACATGGATTGTAGTCTGAAACTCGACTACATGAAAAAGGAATTACTAGTAATCGTGAGTAATCACATCACGGTGAATTTAATCTCAGATAGGTACTAACCACTCGTCAGGCGCTGAAAAGGGTGTATGCAATAAGTTTGGTGATTGTTAATTTTTATCCTAGATAATTTAGGTTTAGATATTTTAACAAGTAATCTTCGTATGCGTAGCTCTGATTGGTGTTAAGTCGAAATATGGTTCAGGTAGGGGAACTTGCCTGGGGATAATTAATATTAACAATACACCCACAATAAAATATAAAAAAGTCTGTGTAGGGTATTAAAATATATAGTAATATATTAAATCTGGTTCGAATCCGGGTATAGGCATATGAGAAATTTAGCTTTTATAGTATTTTATATATGCAATAGATTTTTGCTCTCGAACATTTTTTGTTCATTTAGTTTTGTACACTTAATAGGTTTTATAGTATTATTTAGTATTACCTATTTATTAGGTCATAGTATTTTTATTAATACTGAATATATTTTTTTTTCTATTATTCCTTAAGTGGTTTATTAAAATTTAAAGGTAAATAAAAAAAAACTACTTAAGGATAATAAAGGTAAATAGGGTCTGTATCCTTGAACTAATAAAGTTAATGGTGATACTTATATAGTTAATGCTACAGATTTAACTAGAAGATTAAAAAAAGTAATTTTTTTTCTTATTTCCTATTTTAATAAATCTTAAAGAATAATAGTATTGTGTATAGAGCTTTATTAAAATATGGTTACTCTAAATTTAACTTAGAAATACTTAAGTACTGTGATAAAAGTTCTGTTATTACAAAAGAACAATACTACTTAAATCTTCTAAATCCTAGTTATATTATTTGTAAGACAGCAGGCTCTAATTTAGCTCGTACAACTCAATATCATACTCGATTAAAGCTTAGACATACATGATTGGTTAAATCATGTAATAATAAAGATAGTTATATATGTTTAAGTTCATTTTAGATATATACGAAAGAAACTAAAAGAATCAAGTTTAAAGATATCTAATTATCAAGCTATGTTTGAAAAAATAACTTTTATAAAAAAAAAGTATGATGGGAAACTCTCTTAAAACACCTAAATATAAAAAAATAAAAATATAAAAACATAAAAATATTTTTATAGTATAACAATCAATAGTAAGTTATTATAAATAATTTAAAGCCTATATCTCAAGGATAGAGTGGAATACTGTGAATATTATGCTAAATATTCGACTCATTTTAAGGGCTTTATAGTATATAAAGTATATATATTATCTTTTATATAATATACATATTGCGTTAATTTAATTGGTATAATATTTTTTTTTATATAAACATATTTTTACATATTAAATTATTGTACGTGTTTTTGTATTTACTTTTTAATTATTTCAAATATCTTATTATCCTGAATATATTATTATTTAATATATAATATGAAGAATAATTATTATGATGAGATATATTTTATATACCTATATAAACATATATACATCAAAAAATATATTGAAAAATATAAGTAATAAAATTTATTAAAATATTTGTATGTAATTTTAGCAATATATAATGCAATTTCTAACGTATAAAAATTTGTAGCAAATATCTGTATAAAACCTTATTATTGATGAAAGTAGAGGTAAAACTGGTATA